GGTTATGTAAACAAAGGCAGAGTTTGAGGAGGCGAGCCGGGAAACTCAGAGTGAGTAGCATCGTGCCAGCCAGTATTTATTTCTTTAGCATGGTTAGGACTTAAATATGGTCAAAACATATTCTTCTTTTTAATTTTACACAAACAAATATGTTCCCAGGCTGACACTTCTGATGCCAAGTTTCTAAGGGAAACAAAATTCTACCGCAAAGACATTAAAGCAGCAGAGAGCCACTGAGGATGGAAGCGCCATAGAGAGAGGGACCATCCCACCAGCACCAGAAGCTCCATAGAGAGAGGGACCTTCCCACTGGCACCACCCAGCACTGCTGTGTTTTGGCTGCAGGTAAAGTTGCCGGGAGTCTCAGTGGGATATAGCAAAGCCAAGGTCGGGAAAGGCTTGGTTCTGCTCAAGAGTCCCTCTGCTTGGTAACCTCCCTGCTGCCAGTCAGGCATGCTCCAGACGGGCTGAAGGAAACACGCCGCTCGCCTTTCCGCCTTTCACATTTGTGTAAGAATCAAACAGCCTGAAACCGGTCCAAGCAGGCGAGTAAAGCAACAGGTTATTTGGAGTGATTGCTTAACTTATTGAGCCACCACTGGACCTGTAATGAAGTAAAGTCCTCATAGCCCGGAGTTTTCTCTGCCTCCGTCCTCTGTAATGAAGGATATTTTCCATGAGTTTCTCTGGAATTTTTGCCTTTTTTTTTTTTTTAAGTGTCAAGCTGATGTTGATAATAGATGTAAGCATTTGATGGGGGCTTGTGTGCCCCTGGTCTTTATGTACATGATCAAATCCACCTGGTTTCCTACTGAAGTAACTCATTAATCCCTGTTTTACAGATGTGCAAGCAAAATGTGTGAGGGGTTTACTAGAGAGGGGCTGTCCAAAATGGTAGCTGCTAGCCACTTGTGATGATTTGTGTTTAAATTAGGTACATTTAAATACATTTAGCCAAGTGTGGTGTTACATGCTTGTATCCAAACACTCAGGAAACTGAGGCAAGAGGATTGAGGGTTTGAAGACGGCTTGGGCTACATAATGAGTTCCAGGCCAGCCTGGGCTACAGAGTGATATCCTGTCTTTAAAATAAAATTTTATAATGGATTTTCTAGAGTGTCCTAGAGTCAATTCAAATGCTCAGTGCCCTAAGTAGGCTCACTAATCTCGCTCACTGTGATGGGTGGAGAAAGTTCTGGAGCTTTCTGCAGACCCAGAGACTTCACAGCTGTAATGAGCCAGCCAGCACATGGCTCAGGTGGCAGAGCTTCCCTGACCTTGCCCTTCCTTCTCTGCTGAGACATCATAGCACTGACCACAGGGTTTCATGTAGATCAGGCTGGCCTTAAACTCATTCTGTAGCCAAGAACGACTTCAAACTTCTGTGTGCATGTCTACACGAGTTCCCATGTGTGTTGGTTCATATGTATGTGTGTGTACATGCTGAGGCCTGAGGTTGATGTCTGCTGTATACAGAGAGGGTCTCTCTCTGCTGGCTTGCTGTGGGGATCTCCCGACTATGTATGTCTCCCAAGTACTGGGACTGCAGGTGACCTGCCTGGCATTTCCATGGGTTCTAGGAATCAAAACTCAGGCCTTTGTGCTTTGCAGCAAACACTTCATGCACCAAGCCATTTCACCCGTCCCAGCCGTGAACTTCTGAGCCTCCACCTCCTCAGCAGGATCCTAGGAACGCCTCACCACACTGTGTTCCGCAGCACTGGGGCAGATCGGCCCTCGTGCAGATAGGCTGTCCTCTAACTGCACCACACCCCAGCCCACACTGACACTGCTTATGGAAGTGTTCCCCTCAGCAAACACAAGCCAAGTGTGCACTGTTTTGTGATTTCTAATCAAACAGTGGGGTTGAGACAGCAGCTGCGAGAACCCTAGAGAAGGGAAGCCAGGTGTCACTTTTGAATGGAATGTGAAACCACCTACTACATGGTCCCACTAAAATAAATAAAACACACATCTAAAGGGGCTTCCAAATCTGAGTACCAGTATATAAGAAATATGGGAGTTGAACATGAGGTCAAAAATAAGCAAAATCCAAACTCCAGTTAACCATAACATGGTCCAAGTTCTTCAACAACCAAATGGGGAGTGAATTGTATGTCAATTAGGGGAGAAGTAACCAGCATGACCTGTTGTGACGTTTGAGCTTCTCTGGATTCTGATTTCATGCAGCTGTGAAGAAAGCACTCCTGAGGCCCCAGGAACACTGAAGGAGGACCAGGTTTTCACTAGTGTTAAAGCGTTACTGTTCATTTATGGGTGATGGTGGCAAAGCATTTTTTCCTGTTGGAGTCTGATATATACTGGTGTTTGTAATTGGCTGGATGGTGTATATGCATGGAACAAGACTATTGAGTTCGTCCTCTTTTCCCGCTCCTATGTGTGTGCTGGAAGCTCTTAACAACAGTGGTTCGAGAGATGGCCCAGTGATGAGGAGCTTGCTTGTTGCATGAACATTAGGATCTGAGTTTGGATCCCACCTGTAGAAAAAGCCAGGCACTATAACATGTGCTTGTGACATCAGTGCATGGGCTGAGAGGCAGCAGGATCCCTGGGACTCACTGGGCAGCCAGTTTAGCCGAATCAGCAAACTCAGGTTCACTGGGAGTCCCTACCTCAAAAATAAGGTGGTGGTTAAGGAAGACATGGGACATACACCTCTAGTCTCCACAAGCATTCACATCTACATGTACCACACACAAAAATGGGGAAATTATTTTTTTTTCTGACCTCTCAAGGATATCAAATTGGTTCCTGTATTAGTTAGGGTTCCTTAGAGGAACAGAACTCTGTGTGTGTGTGTGTGTGTGTGTGTGTGTGTGTGTGTGTGTGTGTGTGTGTTTGTATTCCATACGTTATCATTTTAACTATATATAATAATTATATATACATACATACATATACCCACATATATAAAATGATTTACAGGCTGTGGTCCAGCTAGTCCAACAATGTCTGTCTACCAAAAAGGCGCAGTAGTTGTTCAGTCCATGAGGCTGGTGTCTCCTCTGGTCTTCAGTAGACTCTGAAATCCAGAAGTGGGCTCTAATGCTGGTGAAAGGAATGGACTTGCGAGTGAGAGCGAGCAGGCAGAGAGCAAGCTTCCCTCTTCCATGTCCTTATATCGGCTGCCAGCAGAAGGCATGGGCCAGATTAAAGATGGAGCTTCCCACCTCAAAAGATTTGAATTAAAGGTTCATCTTCTCACCTCAAATATCCAGATTAGAAATGGGTCTTCCTATTTCAAATGATTTTATTAAGAAAATTTCTTACAGGTGTTTCCAGATACTTGGGTTTTAGTTAATTCCAGTTGTAGTCAAGTTGACAACCAAGAGCAGCCATCACAGCTCCCCAGTGCACTACTGCGTCTCCAGGTGAGCCTGGGGAACAGGCGTAGGATACATCTTCAAGCATCCTGCCTCATCTCCATGGCAACTAGTAAGGACCAGCCTTCAGAAGCCACCTTCCTACACTAGGGTCATGCCAGGCTGCCAACATCAATGTCAGGACATGATGTTGTTCCCTTTGGAGCCTCCCCCAGATGGATTTTCACAGCACCACCATACTTGCCACTCCCTTCTCTCTGGAACTTCCTGCATGGTCACCAAGGAAGGAGTAGCCAAGTGGCGTGGGGGCAGCCCCTGAACCATGTGTGTTCCAATTCTGACCCTGCCCTTAGTGCCAGGGCCTGTGCACCTTTCTGGACCTCTTCTGTAAAGTGAATAGAATATAAAGGGGCCAGAGCAGGGATGGGGAGGTGGCTCAGTGGGTAAAGCACTTGCCACACAAGCACGAAGACCTGGGTTTGAATCCCCAGAGTTTATGTAAAGCTGAATACAGTAGAGAACACATCTGTAATCGCAATGCTCCTCCAGGGGAAATGGGAGGCAGAGGGCTTGCTAGCCCGGTGTCCGCAGAAGAAAACAAAGAGCCCCTGTTTCAAACAAGGTGAAAGGCAAGGACTGACACCCAAGGTTGTCTTATCTCCACTTATACAACATGGCATTTGTGCACCTGTACACACACACACACACACACACACACACACACACACACACACA